CTTATTTTACGTGCGATTAGGCAGGTTAACTGTTAGATAATGGATAACTGACAACAATTAATGAATTGGTAGGTGTTGGTTCATTTTGACACCGAACGTTTTCATGTATATATACGATTAAAATAGTGGTAAAGCTTATTGCAAAGCAATGACCTTCAGATCTACAAAAAATCGGGTCATTTAATAACTTTATTAATAAATGAATTTAGACGTGACATCGATGTCACTGACGCAGTAATGTGGTGCAGTAACGATTATATTCTATGCCACAGCTTTTCGAGCTAAAACTTATTGCCTCATATGATTTGGAAATAAATATCAGAATTCAATCCCAATAGTATCTATAATGGTATAACACATAACCAGCATAAATCATCCTTGGAACTCTACATTGTTTATGATACAATTTAAATGAGTCAGAGACTCTATGCTCCGCATATTATTTCATATTTCGCAAATCCGATATAAAAATAAAAGAATTCTTTATTTATTAATTGTGCTGAATTTATTACATAGAATGTGACCCGAGGTCACAAAGTCACGTGACTGTGGCGCAGTAATACATAAATTATGGCTTTTGACGTTTGCTTGTATCTTGGTGCCGAGAAAAATGAACTAATATAGTATCGATATCATCCTGGCTCATTTTTGAAATTGACGATGCCGTAAAAGATTTAACCCGTTGGATCATGCTCTCGCCAATTTCACTGAATAAATCGTAGATTTTCTGAGCTCTTTCTTTTCTCTTTCGTAGTAAAGTCTCGCTAACCGAGCTGGGAAGTTGTTGCCTAATTTCTTTATTAACTAATGCCTGGGCAGTACGTTTTGGGTTGCTATTTTTGAAATGCTCGTACCTATCCTCGAGTGCTTTACCAAGATTGTAGTACGACTTAATCACGAGTTGATTTAAATACCCGCTTTGTTCTTCGGCTTTATTGATTGCAACATATAAGTCGTGAAAATTACCAGTACTCTCTTCCACAACTTCCGATATTTGGGATGTTTCGGTAGATAACTCCTCTATAAGCTTCTTTGCTACATTCGAGGAAACCTCATTTCGATTCTTTGACCCATCCTTCTTTTCGTTACTCTTTTTAACTTTTTTAGTAGACTGCGAATTTCCAGATGGTAGTTGGTAGGGACGTTTGAGTGATGGTGAGGACGAACCTGCGATTTCATTTGCATTATCTTGATCGGTTGAATTGACCTGCACCTCGCTAGCAATCGGGCTTGTCCCACGATCCTCCGTATTAACTGGTTTTGTTTTCTCAGCTGTAGCCGAGTCCTCTTCTATCAATCCCATACTTCGCATAATTTCCAATCCTCCATCATCATCTTCATCAGTAATGGTTACATTCGATTGTTGGGAAGCCTGTCCCTTATCATTATCTTTAGACTCTATACGATACACACCTAAAGCTAGAGAAAGCTCCTCTCTATTAATTTCGATACCCCAATTACAGGTTGGACATGAAGGTTCTCGTACCCCGCCTCGTATGATATGGGTTTCAAGGCAGATTCGATGGAGCAGATGCCCACAACACAATACTGTGAAAGCTTCGAATCGGAAATTTAGTATGGCTTTATTACAGAGCTTGCACGGGTGGAGTCTTGGTAACTGGTTATCATCCGGAATTGCTAAAATATTTTGGCTTCGTAGGTAATTTAAGGAAAGTGCTTCAAGTTGGAATACTTCGCCATCGCTCTTGGAGGTGGACGAAGTTTCAGGTGCTTTTTCAGTTGACATATGTTATAAGAGATCTCACCCATATCACCCTATATACCCGCTCATAAATCGCACGAAACCATGTAACTTTAGTCACTAGCTCCGCTATTACAGCCCAACTCGAATTGGCATTACGTCCGAAATGGTGGAAATCTTTTTCATGACTCAAAGAGTCTGGGCTCCGCTCATTCTTAGTGGAATTTATGATCGGGAGAAAAACATGAAAAATACCAATGGGGGTTTATGTGAGAAATTGGGTCGCACGAAAAACATGTGGATATTTTTTATTTGATACAATATAGCAGAGCTGATATCTAAGATATCTAAAATACATATGAAGCGGAATAACTATCTGCCCACTATTTTTTGGTAATTTTTTCTTGCACGCGTCGCTTTTTGGATTCGGGTTCATCACATGAGGAAACCCTATCTATCCAATACATTATCTCCGAGATTTTGTGATCGACGAAAAAAATATCTAATTACCAATTAGGTGCGGAGCATCCTCATTCCACTGCAAAGCAGGACACTCTGTGTCTGAGACGTGTATCCGAAATTAGGTTTTACGAATATGTGCTGGAATCATTATTAATATGCGCGGATTGAATAACGATATTCCGATTTTGTGTAAGTTTCACCGGTATTTAAATCATAATAATATCCTTCATCATCATCAGAGAAACCACAATATCCTCCATCATCATCTTCCTCTTCGTTATTGTCGGAGAATTCGTCATCATTTTCATTATCCCTAGTTGCGTTAGCATCCTCACTCCGTGAGTCATTATCAGAGAAATTCTCAACTGGAAGCTGGTTCACGTCAATATCGTTATTATCATATAAGTCAGAATCTAAGGTTTCATCGGGTACGTTTACCTCAGTCTTTGGTAAATATTTGTTATCCTCACTTATATCATCAATCGAATTTCCGGAGGCAGACACGAAGTGGTTAGAGGTATGAGACAATGGGACAGAGGGAATGAATGTAGTGCTTACATCTGTCTCCGGTAAAGTTTTCTTGGTTTCCTTATTTACTACGGTTTCTGAGTCGCTTAAATTGGATTGTTCAATTGTATGCGCGTTACAATTTGTAACGCCGATCATTTTTTGGCATTTAACCGAAGAGACATCGGTATTAGAAATCTTAGCAAAACATTTTATAATATCTTGAATCTGGTTGTCAGTTAGACTCGAGATTGCACTTGCACTACATGTTATTACTTGAATTTTTTCTATTCCTATTCCCACAAGTAACGTGTAGATTTTTTTCGCCCTGAATGTTCTTTGACGCAAACTTACATCACTGATATCTGGGAGAAGCACTTTTATTTCATTATATACCAGTGTTCTTGCTGATTGGTCATCAATTTTATTTATACGTTTAATGTCTTCGATCTGATCCTCATATGCTTTGTAGTAACAATACCAGCATAAAATCTCTTTTTGTCTAACTTTCATCGCTGTAATAAATAAATCGGCTATATCTTGTGCTGTAACTTTGGTAGATCCAGTTACGATTGCTTCTAGCGAGAATTCTGGAATTTGTATATCAAATACTTCACTAACTTTATTATTATTCTCTTTAATGAACACAGACAAGTCGTGCCTTAAGTCTTGCTCGACTCTTTTATTATATGGAACTTTGATTCCGGTATTTTGTGCTTGATCAGCAGGCATTGATTCTGATTTAATGGTTTCACTCTTATGAGTAATTTCGATAATAGGACTTATTTCAGTAGAAATTACATTTTGTGTATCAGAAGAGGAAGATGTTTTTTGCACCATTTGTTGCCCTCGGCAAATCTTCTTTTCCCTATTTCTTTCTCTTGCCATATTACTAACCCTTTCCTTTTCCTGTAATTCCAAAAATTCATTAATTTCTTTCTCTTCCGATGATATAGGAATGAGAGATGTGAAAGATCGGCTATCCTTTTCCTGGTATATATCAGAAGAACTGGATGCTCGATGCTTCACATCATCGGGTGTATTATTGGAACTATTTTCTATTCGTTTAGGAGCAACATCAGAATTTGAAGTATTATCCGATATATTAGATGCCGGAGTATCGTTAGAATTTTTCATTTTGGTAGAGATGGTATTAACGGAAGATTGATCGATTCCCTTGGCATCGTCATCTGATTTAACAATAAAGTTATTCCTTTTATCGGTTTGCAATTGCTTCTGTTCTAATTTCGCAACTCTAGCTTTAAGCTCAGCATTTTCAACAACAGTATTTTTATCGTTCTGTTCCAGTTTCGTAAATCTGGATTCATGTTCTTCCAAAGCTTGTTTTAATTTTACATTCTCAGCTTTAAGTTCGATGTTATTAGCCTTAATCTCGGCGTTTTCTTTTTTAAGTTCGGGAATTTCGGCATTCTCTTTTCTAAGTTCAGTAATCTCAGATGCAAGCCTAGAGTTTAAATCTCTCAATGTATTGATTGTTAATTGATCGTTTGACATTGTTTTATTACAAAATAGGATATATTCAAAAGGTTAACCGCACAAAAAAATATTTTTAAAATCGCTTTGCTTTATAAAAATCGAAGTCTGTTATTACTATACTATTGCCTACACTATAGGTTTTTCATTTGTCTAAACTACCTATCTATACTAACACATTATCTCAATGTTAATTATAATCTGGTTTCGATATTCTAAATAGAATAAAAATGGTTATTAGTTATATCTGTACGAAACATGCAGGGTCAAAAATTAATTAACAATGTTAACCTTGATGCCTACCTTCTGCGATACTAATAAATTTCTAAAAATCGGCACGAAAGAATAGTTATTAGCTCGCAAACACAGAGGTTATACATTTGTACCTTAGTTGTGTGCGTCAAAAAGAAAATTATTAGAGTTGGAAATGGATGATATGGAGTAGGGAAAGAACGCCATTTCTTTACTAACTTTGTTAATGGAACCTATGAGTTATTATACTAAACTATAAAGCGTTTCTCTTAAGTCCATTGCTTGGAACGTTCCCGTGTAAGACCTGTATACACACCGCGAGTTACCACTCTGAATCCTAACAGATTTGCAGTTTCCAGATTCAGGAGATGTTACGTGGCAACTACGGTAAACAAGTATGGGAAGAGGTTCCCCTCCGCCAAGCTGTCAAAACACACCGCGAACTACCACTCTGGTTCCTAACAGATTTACAGTTTCCAGATATCCAGGAGATGTTACGTGGCAGTTACGGTAAACAGGTTAGAGGTGCAACGGGTATAAAAATCGTTATCGTCATTTGATGCTCAATCTTAAATGCTGATTGACCCCGCGTGATTAGTACAAATCGCGTAAAAAAAAATTTCTATTTTCAAATATGAAGGAACCTGTAGTTGATTCAAATTTCAGAACATATCACTTTAAACGTATGAAATACAGTTTCTTCGCGAACACAGATGCCCGACATTGGTCGTTTAAGCGTTTTTACTCTTTTAACATTAATTCTGGAGACGCGCCAAAAACATTCAATGAAATTCTTGACAAATGGACCGCCGGCCTAAAATTCATTCAAGGGCAAAAATATATCCCAAAGGCAATCAAGAAGTTCGTGGAAGAACTAATTAACTTCAATGAGACCAAGGAGTTTGAGAACTTGTTGGACGCCTATGAGCAGAACTTCCAAGCTCACTTCCTTGCAACCCTTTCAAGTGGATCGGTGACGAAGATCGAAATGGCAAAAAGTTATATGAAACAAACGGATGAAATCCTAAACAGTAAATTAGGAATGCAGAACGAAGAATATGAGGAAGATTCTTATGTAGAGGATGATGCAATGCCGGTATGGTTAATTTTAAGTGTTAGTGTGATCAGTAAGTCGAACAGTCAATTTAATCATCATCATACCTCTCATGTTTCTTTAGAAGAATTCTAATCTGGTGTACAGCGATGACGAATTTACAGAAGAAAGTCCAACATACGAAAAAAACCTTAAAAGAAAATTAGAAGATGATGATTTGCCAGGTTACGATGGGTTAATAATTCTATTTAATGATTCGAATGAGGATAAAATTATGGAAAAAATCGATGAAAATACTCTCGAGGAGGAAAGAAAATTACCACTAGCGAGTGATAATAAGGTAAGGTGTTAACTGTTTTTGTTGGTGAGCATACAGAATATTTAATAAACATATTATCTATCCACAATAGGATCCATCTACATCTATATGTGATGAAGTCTTGAGTGCATTCTAAAAATATCAAAATAAAATTCCTAAAATTCGCAGAGTATACACGTATGTATGGCATCCTTTTACGATTATGGTCTGACTATTAACACATCTCTCTTATTAATTCACAGCCCTGCATATTGGGGAGTGCTCGATCTGACCAGAGAAAGTCTATACGGATGAAAAGAAGTTACAGAAAACGATTTACAGCAATTATCCCAAGATTTCGCTGATCATATCAAATGGAAATGCGAATTGACCTCAAAAGATATTCAGGATTACTTCGATGGCAATTGCGTAAAACTTGACAATAGCGATGAAAATAAAGATCTAAAACATTTTGACTCAAATGTACAATTTTTGTATGTATTAATTGTAAATTATATACTTGATTATCTGGCGTCGCGTTCTGACTATTACATTGCAGGAAAAATAATATGCATTTTTTCCAAGAAATGTTGACGGAAGAACACTTGAAAATGATATCATCATATCCGTTGTTTCACGGAACATTCATGTCCAATCGTATAAAACACTCTTGGTAAGTCATTTTCTTTTCATTAAGGTGTTGAATATTTAATGTTAACAGTTCTTCTGAATATAGGGGGGAAATTCATGCTCTTTCAAACAGTGATGCCCGTAATGAAAAATCGGATCCATTTAAAAAAGCACGAGTGGGTAGAAAGGTTGATATGAAAGTAACGTTGCTAAAAACACCAAATAAATTTGAGGCTCTTTTTGGAGAGGTTTCAGGTGGGCTAGGACAATTTGGAATTCCCACAGCCTGTCGCAAGAAACGGTTCTTAGATAAAGTGAAATTAATGGTAACAATGCGGGATAGTGTAAATCGTCTATTAAAAGAATGTGATCATGTATCGAACGAAAAAAGATTAGAAATTATAGTTTTCGGCTGGCTTCAATTTGGTAGGTTTAATACGAGAAGAAACTTTAATAATACTCTTGCTAATGGAAACTATTTTTAGGTTTGGAGTTGAATTTCTACGCTATGGATTGGATGGGATCCGGTATATATAGATTCGGACTGATAGATCGATGCAGGATACCCGCCGATATTGATGATTGTGATATATTGGAAGATGCATATTGCATTCTAAAATTGCTCCAAGTAAGTTAATAGATAAAATACCATAAATAAAAAAACATCAAAAACTAACGTATTTTTTTTAATGCAGAGAAAGCTACTTGATACTGAAAGAAATGTAAGAAATCTATTTTCGAATAACACGAAAGGAAAAAGACGACAAATCGCTTTAGAAAACAAAGCGGAGCTAAATGTCAATCGCTCCCCCTAAAACAAACCATTTGTGGAACCACATAAAATTAATTGCGGCCGTTTTAGAATAATTTCACTAAATCTAAAGTTTATAATATCAAATACTCTAAAAATTCACGTGCGCGTTACAATTCGTAACGCCGATCACTTTTAATTATCCCTACTATCACACACAAATTAATTATCGGAAAATGACCTTGGTCGGCTTTATTATTCGAAGTAGCCTGGTACAAATAAAAATAGCACGGTCATTACATGTGAAGCAGGAAAATCTATCTACCAGCTATTTTTTGGTAATTTTTTTGATCCGAGCTCTTTTACTTGCTGGAGAGCTATCGACTGTCACCCGATCCTTCAACAACCCAACAATGATTCCTATAACCTTTTTCACATTGTTTCGAAGCACGTCCAGATTTTCTTTGATTGCGGTCTTGGAGAGATTTATCTGGTGCTCACTATTACTGGTACTGTATATTCCTTCGGATGTATATATGATGAAATGCCATTCCATGGCTGAAAACAATCCAATGATTAGTGAAAAATCATGAGTAAATTTTGGAAAATCAGAATTGTTCCGAAGTGGGACTTTTGGTCTCAGGTTTGCCGATCACTTTACCAAGGAAAATTTTTACGTACCTGTTGATACGATCCCATAGAGATAATCAAAATAATCACCCCCAAATGCTTGATCTGCCGTCCGTTTCTTTTTATTAGTCTGGTACGCACTTTCAAGTTCCGGTAAATTCTGAGCATATCCGATCCTGATATTACGTGGTTTAGCCTCGGTGATGCAAAGAAGATCCTCAACACTTTTAATTGCGTAATCTACTCGACCTGTGGATTCTTCTCCAGAAATATCCTTTTGCAAAGCGATATAAATATCTTCGGTTGTATGTTTTTTGGTAATGGCTATCGACGCGTGTAATATTGCCGAAATAAACTCACACCGTGTAGCTTCATTGGCGTCAGTCATTGTTTCCATATTTGAAAGTTTCAGGATTATGTCATCTATACAATGATTGAAGGCCTTATCGCTGTCGTCTATTTCTTCGAAGACTATAGAAAAAATATATTACATAATTGAAATTTTCCATATGAACCCGCCCAAAAA